ACTCTTTCACCTACATAAGGGACACAAAACTGTTTATTAATCCCAATGCGTAATTCAGATTCTCCCCTTCTGATGTACATATATGAATTTTGTCTATTCTTCATTTTATCTGGCACTGGCAATATAATCACCTACTTTTGCTCACTCTTATTGAGATTTCTCAGAGTCCTCTTCAGGTGAAATAATCTTCATTCTTTTACCACTTCACATAGCTAATAAATATTGTGTTACACCTCTCCAGTGCTGAACTGCAGAGCATTTCAATTTTAACCTCCTTTTGTGCTGAAGATAGGCTATTTATTCCTACTATTTTCTTCACAGGCATTCAAGCCCCATGACAGAATTTAACATGCAGAAGCTCTGACTAGCTTCCAACTGCAATGGACTATAGCAAAGACTCACTAAATTCCACATATATAGCTCTCTCCCAGGTCTCTTCAATCTTTCATGAACTTCCTTGTAGCCAAAAGGAGGCAAAATAAGAATGATGGACTTTGAATTTGGATACGTTATTTTTCATAGACTCACAGACTAATTCAGGCTGGAAGGGACCTCCAGAGGCCTCTAGTCTAATGCTCTGCCCAAAGCAGGGTCAGCCTTAAGATCAGACCAGGTTGCTTGGGGTTTATCCAGTCAGGTCTTGAAAACCTCCAAGGATGAAGACTGCACAACCTCTCTGCTTCTTAATTTAGAAATCTGCTTCTACCCCACTTAGTAACACCAGAAAGAAACATTGATGGAAGCGGTAATTAAAACTGCAGATAATTGAACCTGAGCCCTTTATAATCATTGTGAGCCTTTCCAGTCAGTTCAGGGGATTCTGACTGGCATATGTAGTGAACATGAGTCAAGCCACGCTCATGATTTTCCTCCATGCAAAGGGAATATCTTCAAGCGTTGGATGCCTACTCAGCCTAGATATTATAGAAGATACAAATAGATTATTAATCATTCTTACCTACTTGGAAGGTTTCTCTACTCCCATTTCTATGTTGCTCTGATTTTTCTATGCATACAGAGTTGGAGTAGCACTGGTACAGACTGAGAAAGTTGTGTTTATGAAATCAGTGTCAAGGACAGTGCTACAGCTCTGCTGATCATTGCTTGGTGAATGGTTAGAGGGCAGACCAGGGCTCTTCTGAATCCAAACTGTGAGTGAGTTTGCTCCTTGCAAAAGTCTTTCAGTTTCTCTTATGAGCTGGTTCAAGATACTTGGATTATGAAATGAGTGTTTCAATTCATTCTCTTAGCTAGGGATATGCATAACAGGAAAACCCTGAAGTTAAGGTGCTGAATTTCACACCCTGTTGTTTGAACATGCTTGCTAAGGGAAAAAATGTTTTCTGAAATATTGATGTGTAGTCAAAACAGAATTTCACTTACTTAACATGTTTGAATTTAAACTGCTTCACTAAAGAGTTTTTATCTTTTAACACCACCTTCCAACATAAACAGTGTTTTTACTATTTAAATTAATTTAACTAGATTATTTATTTAAAGGAACTAGCTGTCTTTCGTATAATAGATGCCGGAAGCCCTCTATTCTGAATATATCCAGTAACTTTAATTGCAATGCTCCTAGACCTGCCAAGTCTTCCCATTGACTGTGTTGAAACTTCCCTGCCCTGTACCCAGCAGGCAGTGGTCAGTGCAAGGGCAGAGCAGTGGCCTCGCTCCTCTGCAGTCCATGGAGCTTTCAAGAAGCTGCCTTTGGAGAGGAAAGCTTTTAGTGCCATGCTGTAAACTGGGGATAACCACATAACAGAGTGCTGCTGGAAGGCACTCTTCACGGTGACCTTGCACTTTGCTTTCTCACCTACCACTTGAATCTATGCATCACGTGTGTCTCCAGATACGTCATCCCAAAACAGTAGCATCTTACTTAAGAAACTTGTTCACCTTCTGGCTTAAGTTATCCCATGGATTTTCTTGCTGTAAAAGCAGTTTAAAATAGCCTATTTTGAGATTTGAGGCACGGTTATGAGTCTATCAAGTTGCCTCAGGGACTTGAGGGGTTGGGCTGCTCTGTGCAAGGCAATACACACTGTTGCACCTGCCCCCAGCTACAGTCCTGCCTCTGAGCAAAATGAGCAAGTCGACAGAGCCCACTGTGGGGAAGATCCCTTAGGTAGGAAAGGCTTTATGGTCTGTGTGCATCTGTATCAAGTATCAGCCACTGCCTGAATTAGTCACAGAAAGATAAGCAACAGATCTAATTTTACCACTCAACTTTCTGAACATTACAGATGCAACTGCAATGGGAATACATTTGATGATACATACAGTTGTCAAGTGGATTTGTCAATGTCTTTTCTGGTGGCAATAAAAACGTATAGTCTATTTAATGGTGCAATACCATAGAAGATAGTCAAATTGTTTAAACTCATCCTCTTAAAGAAATAAAGAAAAGGCACAGTCTTGTAATGAGCAGTCCCTGGGTGCTGCATTGTTATACATATGGCAGTAGCTCATAAAGCTCAATTTCTCCTTTTGATCAGTTTTATTCTCAATGAAGTACTAATGATTGTACCATTCCAATTCTTTATTTTTATTTCCTTAAATGGGGAAAACCAGTTTGGAGTGATGTTGAATGTATCACTGATTTTAGGAAGCCACCGAAAGGCCTGAATGTACTTGGGTGTGACCCCCACTCTTGTTACCACCGTGATAAGTGCAGAGTCAGATTGTACTTGTTAAACTTTGTGAAGACAAAGTTTAAAATATTTAATTCAACAGTCAAAACTATGACGTGCTTATTTCCATTGAAAGTCATTGCTGTATTTTCAGGTCGTGAATCAACCACAAAGACTATTCAACATGAAATCACAATTCCACCTCTTATCAGAAAACAGTTACCAAAAACAAGAGATTGTTTTGTTACTAGCAAATATATTTGATACCAGCTGAACAGTAGCTCTTCCAAAAACTCTCATCAATTGAGAGATTAAATATAACATTACATAAAAAATGTATAGAATTTCCTATGATAATTCAACCAAAGAGAAGTTTTGTAATATAAGCAAAGATATTTAATCCTACAACTCATCTGTAACTCACAACTTCACCCATATGAAATCAGGGGAAGGAGAGTTTTTGACATGGTAAATGATATGACAAGTGACTACGGATGAGAGGAAAGAGACAAGCCAGAGTTGAGAGTTTTATGGATGACATGGGGTCTAGGAGAGATTTCCCCTTATATTACACATATAACTTAAACTGCTACTGAATCAGGCAATTATAGATGGCCTGGAAGTTGTGCAGAAGAAATACAGTATTTCACACTGAAATATTGGTATAATTTTAAATTTCCATTCCAGATGGTAATTCATTGTAACATCCTTTTCCTTACACAGACACATACACATCCTACATTATTCCAAATGTGCAGGGAATGATTCAAAGTAATTTCTTATTTATCCTATGTTTCCCCAGCTGCTGCTACACAAACTGTAAACATAATCTTAGTGTACTTCATAATTTCATATGATTCTCAGGAAAGGCCAGAAAGTGTGGAATTCAGAATACGAAGCTGTAAACTTCCTTCTTTTGTCAATAAAGGTGCCGAGTTTGGTTGATGACCGAGCTTATACCATGCAAGCAATATACATATTATAATTGCTATTGCTATCTTATTACTGTATGATGTTTCCTTTAGAAATCATTCTCTAATTTAAAAAAGAAAAAAGAAAAAGAAAGGTGTTCTGGTGTAATACATTTTCCTTTTGAAACATTTCACTTTTTTCCTTATTTAATTTATGGGCACACCAGACAAAACTTGTTAGTGAAATCTAAGTATGTATTAATACATATTTCAGTCAGGATAGTATTTTCTGAGAAATGTTTAAATTCGAATAATCAAGTCATCCATTGGCTAAAAAAAATTACACAGGTGGAAGTTCTTTGGAGTTTGTTCGCAGACTCCTTCAACAGCTTATTTTGACAATTTACAGTGCCTTCTCTTTTGAGAGCAGTGGAAAATTCAGCCCAAGGGGCAAAGGTTTTGCTCAAGGTGGACTGATGCAACTCCCACTCTGGCAATGCCACACCAAGAACATGTCTTCAGAATTGCATGAAGCACAAATAGCTGGTGAAAAGGCAGTGCCACACAACACCGCTGCATCACGCTCACTGAGTTGCAGGGTGAGCCAAACCAGGGACCAATTCAGGCTGGCAAAGAGAAGAGATGATTTTTCCCCAGAACAGGTCCGCACCATGAACAATGGTGCTGGACCAAAAAAGAAGGTGGGAATGCCCAACAATGGTGGGGAAAAGCTGTCTCCATCTCTCCTGACAGCAGCCTGAATGTAGGTCAACGTAAAATGATCCTGAAAGTGCAGCTCTCTAGCGCAATGTTGTTCCCTTGTGCTAAGAACGGCAGGGTTGAGCTGATGCTTCAGCACCTGATAATCTCCATCCTCCCTTATCCCTGCTCCTTCCCCCAGCACGCTACCTGCCGTTACAGACAGCCAAGTGGGGATTTGGAGGCTAAAAGGAGAGCTGCTAGGCTTACCCAGTTAGCGTAAGATAGCTAGCAGGACTCCACAATATGTGAGTGATCATGCATGTGAGCATGGCAAATTAGTGGGGTCTGGCAGAAAGGGTAGATCACCGATGTTTCCAATTAAATGATTTCTTGGGTCTGTCAAATGCGGAGTCCCTGAGGCAATCAGGCACCTCCTAGATGCAAATCTTCCATCTCGTTGTTCCCGCTGCTATAAAGAATAAAATACATAATCTTGAAAACCAAATCCATGTCAATGCTAACCATATGAAAACAAAACCACATGAAATGGAAACCGAGAGAGTCTCTTTAGTATGCATGTTTTCTCAGGGCGGTAAAAAGATGTAGATAAAAATCATTTGCCTTTGTGTATGATATGGTTTTCCTTGGTTTTGTAATGATTTAAGTGACTTGGCCCTCATACCCGGATGGGGAAAACAGGTTGCATGTTTTCTTTGGGTATGAAATGTAATGCATTCCTGTCCTTATTTTACAGGGACATCAAACCTGACAATATACTACTGGATGAGCACGGTAAGTGAATATTGGCTGCTTTCTCTCAGATACCTCTAATTCTTGGGATCTCAGTGACATGCTCATGACATGCTTTGTGAGATGTTGGATTCCTACCTAAATCTGGACTTTCTCTGCAAAGTCCCTCTGCCTACCTTGTGGATTTTGTAATTTCGCCTCCTATTGCAAAAAAAAATATGCTGATCTGACACTTGCAAGACCTGAAGAAGGAATTTAATATGAATTGAGATCACCAGGGACACCTGATAGAAAGAAGTTAGTATTTTATTAACAGGATTACCGTGAATCACCATAATCCCTTCTACCAGTAGAACAGTACCAAGCACTTATTTTCTCTTCTAGAACTTCTGAAGGGCTAAGAAATTTCATATAGCAAATTATTTCTCATGTAGGTACCTGAAATTACTTTCCTAAATTTAGGTATGGAATTTGGAAATTTGCCTCTAAGTCTGCAAATTTTTTATGGCTCTACATGTAGTTCTGGATTAAATGACATTAAAAAAAATTGACAACATAATCAGCTTTGAACTTTCAGTGCTAATTCCATGACCTCAAACAAAAAAGGTGTGGTATGAAAAAGAAAATTAATTTCTTTAAACTTAAATTTTATACATGTATATTGTCTATGAAGTATTTTGCTAAAACCTTATGCATCTTTTTGCAACTATTCTTAGAAAAAACATGAGAAAATACAGGTAAAAGAAGGCATTAACCTTCTATCAGGACAGAAACACGTACAGGAAGAAAATTAAATGGAAAAAGGAGATGTGTGTTTGTTGCTGTGGGAAAGTTATCTTGTGCTTTGTTCACCTCAGAAATTGATTAAAAGCAGTTATCTTTGAGAAAATATAAGCTTGAAATTATGCCAAAGTTACCATTATATTTCAAAATCCATTGCAGAGCTGCTAGGTGAATACCAGTTAAAGTTGATTAAAGAGGTATCATTGCAAACAGCTGGAGTTTGTCTCTGGGAATATTGAAACCAACAAATCTAAATAATGTTGGAGTTTTAAACCATCTAGAACTTCAGGAATTTAATGTTTCAGACCCATAAGTGTTAATGTTCTTTAGACGCTAATATCAGCAAATAAACATGAAATAGAAATCTCTTGGTTTTAAGTCCTGGGTGAATTAAAGACGTCAAAGGCAACATGAAATGACCATGAGTGTGTTAAATCTCTGATTGACAGCCTTTGAAGTATGGTTGCCCTTATCTCTCTTTGCCCCTCATCAAGGTTAATTACTGCACAAAATCAGCTTCTTGCAAGAGCTTACTATGGGGGCTCAAGTATTGCAGAGACTCACCAGAGTGAGTGATATGTTGCAAAATGAAGTTTTTTTGGTGATTATAAGCTGTTCAGTAACAAAGTTACCTATAGCCAGCTTGGAAATTTTGGGATGGATAGCCCCTTTTCTGCAAAGCAGCAGAATACTGCTCTCTCATAGCACACCTGCAGACAAGTGGTGAAACAACCATGCTTCTCCAGACTTGCAGATAGACCTTGGTCGGCAGAATTAATCAGCTCATGGGTCCTTGGTTCACAGACCTGCTATGTGGCTGGGAGATGTAATTCTCTCAACCTGGATAAGGGTCCACACACTTCAACTCACTAAATGAGGTGCCATCAGTAGGACAGGTGTCCGTACCATGCTCATCACCACAGAGCAGAGGAGGCCTGAATTTTCCCATATACTTTTCAGCAAAGTCACATCTCAACACTGCTGAGCACAGGTTCTAATGCATCAGTGGAAATAAATGTTTGATGATCACGAGAAACATAATGCTACATGACAGTGGGGTAATCAGCTGCTTAAAATAGCGTTCAGCCCCTACAAGAAGATGATTGCCTGGTCTCCTGGGGAGATTCTCCATCCCATAGGGGAGTCTCATCTGAGGAGAGAAAGTAGGGATGTTTTCAGGTTTCATTCTCTGAACCAGAATCAGACCTCTCTAAGGAAATGAATGCTGTCCATAAAGCTCTCTTGTTATGTTTCCCTCTCAGCTTTCCCAGAAAGCTCTTCCTCTTACAACTAACACTAATCTCTAAATTTAGTAGTAGTGTTTGTTCTGCTAACATGGATCTGAAACAGAATTATTCCAGTGATAGCTGATGGGACTACCTGATGGTTCAGGAGAGCTATTATTATTGTATTGTACAGAGAAAAGCATTATAGAATACTCTTCATAACAGTATTCTGCTTCCTGTACTATTCCTTTCATTTTAATGGTTTAGAACAACATAACTGAAATAATAGTGTTTCGAACTGAAAGCTGGCAAGTCTGGTCCATGCTATATTTTTTTTTTGAAATATCAAAGAAATTAAAGATGTCTTTAAATCTTTCCATGATCTATTAGCTATGATGTCTAAGGAGATGTGGAATGCAGAAAAATGCAGAAAATAAGCAGTGGCAAAGAGATTAGTACATTGCCTTTTTTCAGAGATGATAACATTATTTCTACAGCTATTTGGTAGCACCATTTATATTAACATTTCTGGTCATTCTGCAGAAATCCAGGTTTTGCATTGTGCAGAGTGACCACACCATTATTACACTCTGTTTACAGGAAATTTGCAAGGGTTTGATTTCCTCTCAGGCAAGTTTTTCAGGACATCATTTCATAAGACCCAGCAAGGTCCCTGCTTGGTTTACCGAGGAAGAACTCCCTGCTGGGTCAGATCCAAGACCTCAGCCGGTATTCTGTCACAGCCAGTAGGAAGAGGAGATACTGTTCATGGAGCATGCCCTTTGCCACTTCTAGTCATCAAATGCTTCAGTGCTCTCTATCACCCACATTTTTTGTATTAGGATATTAGGGTATCTCTGTATATTCCCTTTAGAATCCGGATGAACCTTTGTCAGTGAGTTTGTCTGCTGTCTCTTTGAAGCTGCTGCTGTTACTGGCCTCTACAACCTCCCCGAGCAACAAGTTGTAGAAGTTCACCATCCTTTGTGGAAGAAAAGTGTTTTCTTTCATCTGATTTGAAACATTCTCTTTTCAAAAAAACATCCTCTACTTCCAGAATTGCAAGATTTGGTAAATAATAGCTTACAATCACAATCTTCATGATATTCAAAAACTCCTTCAGTGCTCTCCTGTCTCAGCTGAAGAGCCTCAGTCTTTTAAATTTCTCCTTATAAGGCACTGCTCCATTCCTTTTGCCCCTCTCTGTTGCCATAGTGTTATGGATATGCAGGCTTTCTGTTTCAGAGCAGAAGAGCAACCATACTTGATCAAAGATCCATCTAATTGAGTTTCTTATCTCCCAGAGTTGCCAAAAAGTGAATGACAGAGTAGGATATAAAACGAGGCAGGTTTTTGTGGTACTTCCCCCATGTACTCACCCAACCTCCAGCCTCAGGCATTTCCTGAGCTGGATGTGGTTTCCAAGCATTTAATAACTTTCAGTGGTCTTTACCATGGACTTTTCTGGTGCTTCCTTGGTGGAGGGAACTTTTAGCATCCTTAACATTTTGTGACAAAGTGTTCCTTAGCTTAAACACATATTATGTGAAGACTCACTACCTGTTTGTTCCTTTTGAAGGTGCTATCTGCTAATTGCACTGAATGCCTCCTACTTCTGGTGTTGGAACTGCTTCTTCATGGTTCTCCATATTGAAATCACAGACCTAATATTTCACTCTTAGCCTTAGCAGGACTAGTTACATTTTTTTAGGTTTTGCAGGTTTTTTTGCAGGATTTTTGCATCTGTTAGTGATAATTTTACTCAGTAATCATTTCTCTTATGAGAGAGCAAGGCAGGTTCAAGCTGGCATTTGTATGCACCTCTTTATATATGATTATACCGTTTTATCATCATCAAGGTTTCCCTTAAAACTCTATTTCCTTGATTATTTGAGAATCTCAGCTCTCACTTGAAAGCTAACAGCAAAATTGAAAAATGCAGCCAATGAGGAATCTTGGTCTTAAAACCAAAAATAGGATGAAAAAACCCATCCATAAATTCAATATTTTGAACAACTGATGTTAGCTTCTGAACAACAGAACTGGCAGCATTACTACTCTATAGTGATGTTTGGAAGATGTAAAGTCTCCACTAAAGATGTACCTGGTGTGACTGCATTAGGGCTGGTCCTCATCATACCCACATACAATTTTCAAGGACTGTCTCATTTAACCCTCCGATGTTGATTAACAAGATGAGTGTTCTGAGCATAATTCATTCACCTGAAGCTATCTACACTTTGAAAAGATATTTGAAATTTTTACGTGCCTACATGGCCGTTAAACAGCCTACCCTTTTGAAATGCACAGTACATCTGAACCCACCTATAGCAGTACAATAAGGTTTCTAACAATCTCCCTGATGATAAGTAGCAGACTGCCAAGTCATGCCAAGTTCACGTGGATATGAGCTTACGCTCTTGTACATGGTACAGGTGAACCCAGAGAGAAGCTTTTTAAATTGTTCATAGGGTTTGACCTTTTGAGGACAAACCAGATCTGAATTTGCCTCAAAATGTTACTATGTTGAGATTTCCCATCAGCTCTCATGCATGCTGAGTCGGTGGCATTAACTCCAGACTGGTCTTTCTTCTCTCTGCCCTCACATTCACCCCTTCGGTTTCAAACTCTGAGAAATTCAATGACATTTGAAGTCATGTACATTTTCCTCTGCTAAACGTTAGTCAGCCAGCCTCAGCCACCTTTCAGGACTTGTTTTAATTGTCATTATGATTTGTTGATTTGTTCTCATTTAGCAAAAATTAAATAATAGTCCAAACAAAGTTCATTTGCTGTTTACCTCAGATACTGGGATTTCAGGCCGTGTGGAAGAGTGAGGCATAAAAGCCACACAACACTTCTGAAGTGCATGCATAAAGCTTCTCAAAGTCATACACTGTGCTGTAGGTAATAACTTCCAAATTTTCCCTGTTAAAGCCTTAACTGGAAGCTGAGTGGAGGAATGCAATTTTTGAAACAATTTCCACTGAGATACTTTCTGCTTGCAATGTACGTGTTGGTGTACATGAAAACTGTGCAGTCTGGGATGATTTGGAAAAGCCACTCTGCAGAGAGCCAGAAGAATGTGGTCATTTGCCTTTTCTTCCCTTCTCTCCACCATCATCTTTTTATCATATGGGGTCATGCAGCCACGGGGACTAAGGAATGACCTCTTTCC